GGCACTGGGACCTAAATCCCATTGGACCTCGAATCCAGATCTAAGTAGTGGGTCCTCAGCATTTCCATCTTGGGAGGTTTTGTGAACATAGGAGAGGTGGGAGGGGAGAGAGGAGGCTGAGATTTAGAGAAGATGCCAGGTCAGAGATGAGAGCAAAGAGGGTGGGAGGAGATGGGATCCTCAGATGGGGGAGGAGGGAGGGCAATTGGAGGGGAAGGGACTGACTGGAAGTGAGGGAGGAGAGAGGAGTACCCAGCCCAAGAAGTCCCACTGTCTCACTTGTTGGTTGAAAAAAAGGTAAAGAAAGTAATAATTTTTTTATTAACATTTATGCATAATTTACCGAAAAAGAGAGAAAATATGGCATGGGGGTGCAATTTTAGATGCAGCTGTTGCAGCAGTCTGCTGACCAATGCCAAGTTCAGGGCTAACTGAGAAGTGGGCTGGGAGTGGGCTAGGTTTTGGGAAGGCTGCATTGGCTGTCATCTGACTGCTGGAACCCCTGAGTGGGCTGCTCATTCAGGCTGCCCAGAGGGCAAGGCGGGGCTGGAATCCTGCTGGGGGCTGGCTGGGAAGGGGGTGCATTTTTCTAACTGGCAGGTCCAGAGAGGTGTCTTTCCACAGGGACAGGTCATCTGTCCAATTTCCACAGAGCAGCAGGATGTGCCTGAAGTAGGCTTTATCACTGGAGTCAGGGTCCAGCTGCGACTCGTGCTCTTTATTTTTAACTCGCTGCATTTTTTATGTGGAAGTATTTTAAAATAAATTACAGATACCCTGACATGTATTTCTTAAATAATTCATCATGCATCTCTCTAAAAACAGAGCTTGCTACATAGCAAACTAATATTATCACACCCAACACAAGTGAAAAATCCTTTCTCAATAGACTTCATGCTCCATCTATACTCACATTTCCAGATAAGTTCAGCACTTTAGCCATGAACAGAAGAGTGGTCTGTCTGAGAAACTGGCTGTCCCCAGGCTTCCCTGCCTTGGGCCTGACATGGAGCCTGGGCCCCAAAAGGAGCCAGGAAGGAAGGTGAGAACTGGAAAGAGAAGGTGGGGACTAGGGAAAGACCCTGGGCTCTGGATGCCCAAACTGTCCCTGGATACCAGGGTGCTACCAGACAGACCCTTGAGGCTGAGTGGAGAAAGGATGGGGCCTCAACTCCACCCTGGGACCATGTGCCCTCTCTGTTGAGCTCAGGTGGGGCCATGGCACTAACTAATGTGACTTCACAGCAAAGTGACTCATCCTTGCCGGGCTCCTTCTCCGCTATCTGATGCACACTTATGTCCCTCTTTCACTGCCTCTTCTCTACCTCTAGTTCCCTCAGATTGTCCTGGAATCTTCCCCTGGGCCCCTCCACCCACAGATTCACAGCTGTGTTCATGGGCTGACTCCTTTTGAAGAGGACAAGATCACTGGTGGGGGCAGGCCAAGGAACTGAGAGGCCAGGGACTTGGAAAGTTGTGTGAGTCCACATGGGCCCAAGGTCACCAAGGATTATGGCAGGAGCAGTGAGAGTGACAGGGAACCAAGAGTCAAGACCCACAAGGATGAGAGGAATGCCCAGGTTGTGTAGGATCTGCAAGGGTGACCAAGGGTCCATAATGATGCCATGGTCTGATGGCAGAAGTCACCCTATGAGGGTTGTGTGTGGAGGACTAGAAGGCAGGAAGGGGCAACTAGGAACACAGAGGACAGCAACCTTACCCTCAGGCCTGAGGTGAAGGAGGTCAAAATGTCACCACTGGAGAGGACTGCAGGCAACAACAGTCCTCATGGGAACTGATCTTAGCAAGAACGAGAGGTGCTGTGTAAAGAAACTGGGAGAACAGTGGGTTGTGCTGATGGCTGCACACTTGAGAGGTTAGCAGAGGGTGAGGCTTGTGGATTTGGGGAGACTGCAAATGGGGCTCCTTCATGAATTTATAAGGTCTTACTGAGATGTGGTTCTGGGTGATGAGGGAAGACCAGGGTGTCCCAGCTATTCCTGACCAGAATCACCAATTCTGGAGGGATCGAGGCACAAAGAGGTTGGTCTGGGGTCTCAGTGCCTACCCTGACATTTGGGAGTGGGAGGGAGCCAGGAGGCTTTACAGGAGAGGGTGTGACCCATGGTGGTGGGTCTCCCGATGGGGTGTTTTGATGGTAAATCTGCTAAGAGGCTGTGGAGGAGCAAAGGGCCGTAAATGGGGATGAAGTATATACACCTGTCCTCGAGGACAGAGAGAGAGAGCTCCATAAACATGCTGAAGTTGCCAGGTGCCAGAGGCTCATGCCTGTGACCCTAGCTACTTGGGAGGTTGAGATGGGGAGAATCAAGGTTTGAGGACAGCCTGGGCAAATAGTTCTCCAGACTCCATCTCCAAAATAGCCAGAGCAAAATGGAGTGGAGTTGTGGCTTAAGTGGGAGAGTGTCTGATTCATAAGCATGAAGCCCTGAGTTCAGATCCCAGTCCCACCAGGAACAACAACAGTAAAAACCCAAAACATGCAGAATTCGGCTAACAATGGGCCTATTTCACAGACCAGAGAAAATGGGAGGGGTGAGGGGCATAAGAAGCAGGTCACTTTGACCTCAGAGCCCCAGCGCAGAGAGATGGGAGGCACAGGCGTCTCTGAGTGCAGTGCAGAGGTGGGCGCTGGACCACAGACAGCAGCTGCTGCAGGGTTGCATTGCAAATCAGCTGAGCTCCCAGAATCTGTGTCTGCAGGAGAGCAAGGGCAGGTCAACTGCCCACATCCTGTCACTCAGGGAGAACTTGAGGTGAGTCTCTGCTCAGGACACTAGAAACTGGAGAGAGAGACAGAGAGAGAAAAAAATAATGGGTGTCAAGTGAGAACAGACCCTGAGCAAGACCCCTTCCCTAGGCTGCCTTCAATTTGCTCCAGCTTGTCCCTCATGAAGGACATCAGGAGAGTCCTTCAGGAGAAACTGAGCTGTCACGGATTGAAAAATGGAGCCATCTCCTGCCTGGTCGGTCTAGAACCCACAGCCCTGGATTACATGCTGAGCACCAGCGCTCCTCTTGCAGACAGACTGCCAAGAATCTACAGAAGTTTCCAGAAAGTTCTGAGGAAGGACTGGGTCAACAAAAGGAAGAACAAAAGACACAATATGCACATAGAGGAAACATGCTAAAAAGAAACATTCAGGTGAACAAAACGTGTAGTAGCATATTTTTTTTCTGGCACTGGGATTTGAACTCAGGGCCTACACCTTGAGCCACTATACCAGCCCTTTTTTGTGATGGGCTTTTTCAAGATAGGGTCTTGAGAACATTTGCCCTGGCTGGCTTTGAACCACAATCCTCCTGACCTCTACCGCCTGAGTAGCTAGGATCACAGGTGTGAGCCACCAGCGTCTGGTCCCATAAATTGTAAACATTGGAATAGAAGAATTGGAATGTAACCATGAGGACTTGTAGAAACAAAGAAAAATAGATGATGAACAACAGAAAAAAGATGACAAAGTTAGAGGGTCCATTGGGAAGGTCCAACAGGGTGACAGTGTCAGAAAGAGAAAACAGCCAGCTCAAGCAAAAAGCTAGTGGGACCCCATCTTAACAAACAAGCTGGGTGTGGTGGTATCATGTCTGTAATCCCAGCTACTTGGGAAGCCAAAGGTAGGAGGATTGTGGTCTGAGGCTGGTCCCTGGCAAAACACAGAGAACCTATTAAAAAACTAAAGCAAAAAAAAAAAAAGGTCGGGGCATGGCTCAATTGGTAGAGTGCCTTGAGAGCTCTGAGTTCAAACCCCGGTACCACCATGAAAGAAAAAAAACAAAAGATCAGTCCTGTGGGAGTGAGTGCTTGTTCCATTGTGAGCTGGGGGAGGGGAGAATCTCCTGCTTAGCTTGTGCAGCACAAGGGAGGGGTCTCCTTTTTCTTGTGCTCACAGCTGTGTTGGCAGCAGCCAGGAGGGCAGGGGGTGCACAGAGAGGGATGACAGAGGGTGGTGGACTGGGCCCCACTAATGACCCTGGATGGGTTCACAGAAGCGGCTAGTTTGGATTGACCTCCTGCATCAGGTTAACAAGACCAACTGAGTCCAAGTCACTCATGCCAAGGTCCCATACCACCACCCCAAAAACTAAGTTCTCTGAGCTTAGGAATCGGGGTAGAGAAAGGAAGGAAATCCCCGAACAGAGCAGAGTTGGCTGGCACGATGAGGCTGTCCTCGGCTTCCACCTTCACAAGGAAAGTAACTTGGAGACAATCTGTCTGCATTTTGTTCCTTGTCTCTACCCTCTTTGGTCTTTTCCTGTTTGCCTCCCTGCCTGGGTTGCAGGGCTGAGCTCTGACCCTCTTCTTGTTATAAGGACTGCCTGGTTCATGAACCCTTCTTTGTTCAAATAAATTCTATTACGTGTGTTTTGTCTAAGTTTTTCTTTCCCTGGGGTACAGACGTGGGAAGTGGATGATCGTCACAGGCTCAGAGGCTTGGCTCCTATAGTTGGACTGCATTGGTCTAGCTGCAGACTGGGTGCAGAGAGACGGTGAGTGGTGGGTCTGGCAGGCAGGACTCCTCTGGAGTGAGAGGTGTACCAATGGCATTCGATTAAATTCTGGCTTTTTCTTTGCAGGAAATGCAGTGTTCAGAGGTCAGGGAGGAGCTCCTGGGAGCTAGGCTGGGGGAGACAGGTCACCCACCTCAGGTCCTGTGGCTCAGGTAGGTGCATTTAGGCCTGGGGCCTAGGCTGAGATAGGCGCTCAGGGTCCTGTCTGTGTAGTACGCATGGATCCTTAGGGTCCTGAGATGTGAGGAGGAGACCATGAAGTGAGTAGAATCCATTCTTGGGCTCTGATTCTCTCTCTCTCTCTTTCTTCCTCCCTCCCCCCCTCTTCCTTTTCCTCTCCCAACAAGCTCCTTCTCCAGAAATCCTACTCCTGGTCCAACCTGGCCCTGTTTCCAGACTCTCGATTTCCGCACATGTCCCCTGAGCTGGTGGCTCTTTTCCTTCTGTGTCTACCCTCCGTCCTTCAGATCGTAGGGTGAGAGGGAGGCCTGGGACAGTGGCTTTAGGTAGTCCCTGGACTTGGGCATTCCCAGAGTGGGAGAGATTTTCTGGCTGTGCAGGTGATGTGACTGAGGTGGCCTGTACGAGGAGGCCAGGTGGACGGACTCAGTGAGGCTTCCACTTGGACAGCCCTGTCAGTTACAATTTTCCCACTGGTTTCCTGGTGATTTCCCCAGGGATTCTCCATCCTCAGGCAGAAACAGTTCCCTGCTCTGTTAGTCCCTAGCTCAATCCACATCACTCACCAGAGGAACAGAGCTGACAGCCCAAGGCTCTTGATGACAAGGAGTCCACTGAGCACAGGGACCAGGGCAGTAGAGGCTGCAGGGCCAGAGAGAAGGGTAGAGTTCTGCAGTCTGGAGGCAGAGGGACAAGAAGGGGAGAAGACAGGGCTAGTGGCAATCCCTGGCACCAGGCATGTGTGGCTTGGGTTCCACCCTGAACTCACTTGGCAGGTGGAGCCCTAGAGGCCTCTCCAGTCTGGGGCACAGGGCTCTGTGGCTGTGAAGAGATCAGGTTGCGGGGAGACCAGGTTGTCCATGTGGAAGCCGAGGCTGCTGGGCAAGAGAAAGGACATTGACTAGTGGACAGGACAGTCCTCTTCTCCCACCAGCAGGAAAGACTGAGCACAGAACCTGGTGGTCCAGAGGGCAAAAGCAGTTTGTTGCTGGGGCTGGGGACTGGGCCATGATCTCCCTGGCTTAAGATCAGACAGACCTGTGGGTGCCTGGGTCTATCAGGTGCTAGCAGAGGTGCGTCTGAGCCAGGAGCACTGGAATAGCAGTCAGGGGGCCGGGCCTCCCACCTAATGTTTCCACCATTTGTGGAAGCACAAATGGCACAGGCCCTTTCACCTCTGCCTGCCACCAGCTTTCTTACACCTCTGGGCTGTCTGGGGACAGTGGCCCCTGGTGGGGATTCTGAAGGGCCATTTTCACACCCTGTCCCCCATGGTTCTGTTGCACAGGCCTGGGTACCCTGGAGCTTCCACAATTGGGAAGAGCTTTTCATGGCCCCTCTGGATTTTGAGATTTTTTTAGCTGCCTGTCCACCACCCCTACCTCTCAACTTCCCAGTAAGGCCCCAGATCTATCTGTGCTTGTAGCCCTTGGTAGAGGCTGCGGGAAGGTCGCCTCTGGCAAAGAGGTGGGAGCTATGGAGAATAAAAAGACATGGCTATTGCAGGTGGGTGGGGGGCAGAGGGAAAGAAAGTGGAGTCAGCACTAAGGGTGTGAGAGAAAGTGGGGACTCTCAGTGTCCTCAACTAGGTCTATATACTATGTAGGGTCCATGAGGGAGGAACCTTCCCCAAAAGCTGGGAGAAGGGTTGGGAGGGGCCTGGAGAGGAGGGTGCCTGACCCTGGACACAGGACAGCCCAGGGACTGCCCTGAAGGTCTTCCCTGGAGACAGCTCCAGGCCAATGGACATGTGGACATCATCCTGTCCCATGGGGGCACTGTCCCATCTAGGACACGTACAGTGCTGGCCAGGAGCAACCCATGTGTCTACCTGGAGGAGATGTTTGGAGCACTCTGGGACTGTAGACCTGTGTTATTGAGTGTGTGATCTATGGGCTGTGCTGGTACAAGTTGTCTGTGACTCACACTTGAGGTAAGTATAAAAATTGGGAGGAGGGATTGGAAACTTTTATACAAATTTGATATTCCCTCAAGAGCCAAGCACGTGATTAGTAAACTTGTCTTATTGACCAGGGTGTAGACCAGCTTTGGGTGTTGTTCCACTGACAAGGAGAGTTAGATATGGAGCCAGTTGTGTGCTGGTAACAAACAGTACACACGATATTGCGTGTGATACTGTAAGGGAAGTTGATAGCTATCTCTCCAAAGCATGTAAATGTCTGAAAAAAAATGCATCTATTCTTTTTGGGAGGCTGAGATGGGGAGGATCACAATTTGACAGAAGTTCATGAGAAGACCCCCTCCATGAATCCATCCTTCCTTCCTTCCTTCCTTCTTCTTCTTCCTTCCTTCTCTTCCTTCCTCTTCCTCCTTCCTCCCTCTCCTTCTTTCCTTCCTCTCTCTCTTTTCTCTCTCTCTCCTTTCTCTTTCTTTCTCTCTCTCTCTCTTTCTCCCCTCCCCCTCTAGCTTTCTTTAGTACTGGAGACTGAACTCAGGGCCTCCCAAGCTCTACACTTGAGCCAAGCTTGTTTTTTTCATATAGAGTATCACATTGCTACCTGGGCCAGCCTTGGACCTCGATCCTTCTACCTCTGCCTCCCAGGTAGCTGGGACTTCAGGCATGAACCACCATGCCCAGCTTGTTTCTGCCATAGGGTCTCCCTAACTTTTGATTAGGTTGGCCTACATCTTTGATCTATCTCCCCCTCCTAGGTAGCTGGGATTAAAAGTGTATACTACTGACACTTGGCCTACCACTTCAGTTTTAATCAAATCTTTTTTTTTAGATTAAAGTATAACACCATTAGCTAATTTTGAATAGTGATTGGTTAATTAGAATTCCAACAAACAGTAAAACAAAAGTCATTGAACTTTGTGTCAAGAAAAGACACATCTTTCAAAGTGGTATAGAGTTGATTCCAAAGACAATTTTCATTCTGAAATTATTTTAAGAGTTTATATGAGTTTTATTTGAAAATAGAATCCCTCATTGTGATAGTGGAATAATGGATCCCAAAATGTCCACTCCTTAATCCTAGGAACCTGTGACTATGCCTCCTCATGTGGCAAAAGGGACTTTTCAGATGTGATTAAGGTTAATGACCTTGACTTAGAAATATTATCTTGGCTCATCTGGGTGAACTCAGTGGAATCACAGGAGACTCAAAAGCAGAGAATGTTTCCTAGTTATGGCCAGAGACTGATGCAAAATGAGAGGGACCTCAGTTATGGTTGATAAGCTTGGGTGAGGGAGGAAAGGGGCCATCGACCATGAAACACTGTGGCCTCTAGAAGCTGGGACAGCCTTTGGTTTACAACCACCAACCACCACCTGCAGAATACTGAATTCTGACAAGGACCTGAATAAGCAGGAAAGGGACTTTCCCCTAGAGCCTCCAGCAAGCAATACGCCTGCCCACACCTTGATCTGAAAACAGCGAGACCCTCTGGCTTCTGCTCTACAGACTATAAGACAATCTATTTGTGTCATTTTAAGCCACTGGATTTATGATAATTCGTAATGGCAGCAATAAAAAACTACCATACTCATATAGTGTGAGTTTTGTATTTATAATTAGTGGGGAAGTATTAATCCCAGTGAGTTATTTGTTGAGCTATACACACTAATGAAGCAATGACACCATAAAAAAGTAGCACTTACAAAAAAAATTTACAAACGCAAGGTTAAAACAAGCTACTTCTTTGATTAAAAACAGAGAAGAGGGCTGGAGGTGTGGCTCAAGCAGTATGCTGCCTGCCTAGCAAGTACAAAGCCCTGAGTTCAAACCCCAGGACTGCTAAAAAACCAAAACAGAAACAAAAAACAAAAATGAAACAAAAAAACAAATAAAAAGAAGAGTTTTGGGTTAGAAGGTTCTGAAAAGTCATAAGTATTTTACATATAATCTCTCATGTGCTGAGGGCTTCCTGTGAAGTAATACTTCATATTGCAAAGATGAAAAAAATCCATTTACAGGGCAAAGCACTTGCTTAGCATTCAAGAGACCCTGGGTTTGATCCCTATCACCAAAAATAAAATAAAACTCCACCCACAATTGCCAAAACATTCTTGGAAAACTACAACAGAAATTGCTTCACAATATTGGGTTAATAAATAAATATTGGGCAAAGAAGGGAGCTGAAATATCATTTCCAGTGACAAGCTAGGGGGACAAACTTAAGAATTAGCTACTGATGTGGAAGACCACCTTGTAAAACAAATACTATTAGCAAAGTACTTTTCATGGCACCTTGAAGGATGCAAGGATGCACAGATGCTGCTAGCACAGCTGTTCTTCTGCTCTGTGCAATTTGAACACAATGATATGAATGCATTCTTCTGTATCTTTCAACTTCAGTGCCAGAGCCACAACTAGCTCTGAACTACATACAGCTATGCAGGATTTATCATGGAAATGTGGTAGGGGTCAAAAGTTATGTAGGAGTGCCTGATGGTCACAGGTACTACGACAGACAAATCTGCACAAGTCTCAGGCTAGGTCATAAATCAATGTATTGCTTCTTTCATTAGGAAAGTCCTGTTGTGAAAAAAACATCAGCTGTACACAACAGTGCGGCCACTGATGTGGTTGAAATTGTGGATTGTATCAGGTGAATGTGTTAAAGTTGGAGTCATCCTCTTCCTTATGGGGTAATATGGGTGGTCCAAAGGTACCTGTTATTGCATGTCGAGTCACAAGGGGAGAAGTTCTGTTGTGAACATCTGAGCAATGGAAAAATCTCCTACTGTCTCTGTAGAGAAGTAACCAGTTCAGTCCTAATGTTTTTTAGACTTGTGAATTGCACAATCACATTTGTGTATATTGTAGCTTTGATTTTAAGATTTCCATGCAAGGAAGAAATGCAACATGTTTTTTAATGGTGAATAAATTCTTAGTGTATAAGTAAAAGTTAAAAGTTTGGAAGAAGAGTTTCAATGCATTCTTATGACATGGTCTTAATTAAGTAACAATTATTGACAAAATAGGTTTTGGTCTTGATATTACATATCTGTAGAAGTATTTTTATAATCCTTAATAATTTGATAGGATGTTCTAAAATTTGTTTTCTTTCAAAATATGAGGAATGATCATGAAGGCTTCCATGCTCTTTCCAAAAAGAAAGGGCTAACAAGACTAATGGTCACGCTCTTAAGAATCAGATTTTGGCAAAACTGACCCCTCACAACCATCCGCCTGCGCAGAGAAGTCTTCTAACTTCACGTTATAACGGAGAAAACTTCAGCGAGGGCCCCCAGGCCGCTTCGACCCCGGCCCATGAATGGCTCTGGGAAGACTGCGGACAAGGTGAGTTCGCGGTACTTTCGTTGCGGTTCTCCTACACAGATTCAACCGGACCCAGAAGCAGCATATCGGCCCCTGGACGAACCGACGCCGCCACCGGGGAAAAAGCATGAAACTGACGTAATAAGTCAATAAGAACAATTAAAGACACGTAGCCAGAGGAAGTGGTGGCGCACTGAGGTATTAGGTCATCCAAAACAAAAAATCAATAAAGAAATCCAAATCTAAAATATTACAAATACAATAAATGGACCTTAGTTTGATGTGCTACAGAACAATTCATCAACCTCTACACAATATATCATTCCTTTTAGCACGCGCATGAACCTTCTCCAAAAAATAGATCATATCCTAGGGGACAAGCAAGCCTCGCAAATATAAGAAAACAAAATTTCTACGCCCATGCATACTTATCTTAGTCAGCAATGCAAGTAGAAAGTAGAACTCAACAACAAGTAAGCCCAAATAACACATCAAACAGCTGGAAACCTATTACGTCATTATCTCTTAATGATCATATTGGATCCATCGATGATAAAAAGAGGAAATTCAAGTTCCCTAGAATGTCAATGAAATGAAAACACAACCTAACCAGAACTAGGGACACAGCA